TTTTGAATGGTTAAATCCTATAAAAAACAATAATAATATATAATCCTATGAATTAATTTTTGAATTGTTAAATCCTATAAAATAATATATAAATAATGTATAATCCTATGAATTAATTTTTGAATTTTTTTGGTTAAATCCTATAAAAAATAAAACAATAATTTTTATTGAATTAAACCTTGCAAATATGAAAATACCGAAGTATAAACAATAAATTTGTATTACTTATATTCCTTCAAACGAATAAAAAAAAAAAAAAATTACCACAAGTGTTACGTTATAAAAACCCATCACCTTTTCCAAAAAAAACCAAAAAAAAAACAAAAAAAAAATAAAAATAAACCTGTAAAATTGCACCTGTAACGTTTCATCTGGATCACCTCGTATCAATCTATCGAATCTTGCGATCAAATCTTCCCTCTCGGGATCTTTTTCTTCTTCTTTTGGTTTCTCACGAATCGTCACTTCCGGTACCAGAAGAACAGGTGTTTTGGTTGTTGTTTCGTTGTCATCTTCCTAAGAAGTTTCAAATTTATTTCCATTCGTTGGAATATTTTTCATTTACAAAAACAAAAAACAAAAAAAAAACAAAAGAACAAACAAACGAACGATTTTTACTGGGCGACAGCTCAATTGTATTTTTTTTTTCTTCTAATATTTATTATTATTATTATTATTCGTATATATTCACAAAAAAAAGTTTAACAAATTTTTTAAATCAACTCTTGCGTGGGTGGAAAGAAGATAAAAAAATAACACACAAAAACGTTCAAATACGACGAAATAAAATTCGATTAAATACTACGATGTTATAGTCAATTTAACGTTCACCATTTTGTCGTCAATTATTGGATTTTGTATAACGATTAAAGGTCAAAGTTCAATATATACTTTTTTTTTTTTTTTTTTAAACCGATAAACCTAACTCTGATATAGATAAATCGTTTTTTTTTTTGGTTTATTTCTCCAAGTTGTTGTTCATTCAATTTAATCTGAATTTCGTTGTAAACTTCAATGATCGATTATATTGATTATACAAATAATAATAATAATTATTATAGTAATAATAATAGTAAACAGGAGAGAAATAGAGAAATCTGTAATCGCAATGCAATTAGTTTTCCTCAATCCTAAAAAAGGTTTACCAACTACTTTCAAATCGCACGTTCTAAATGATCTTTAAAAGTTCTAAGAGAGTATATATATATATATACTACACATGATTGGAAAACTCTCTTTCTATATATATATATATATATATTTCTTTCTAACCATACCATATATATGGTATATAACATTATTATTACTATATTATTATATATATACTATATATATAAAAAATATACCATATTTATAATATATATATAATAATTAATATTATAATAATATTATAATAATTATTATAATAATAAACTAATATATATATATATATAATATACCAATATTTTTATAATATATATAATAATAATTAATATTATAATAATAAACTAATATATGGTATATTATATTATTATTACTATATTATTATATATATACCATATATATAATATATATATATATAATAATTAATATTATAATAATAAATTAATACATATATATATATATATATATATAATATACCATATTCATAATTATATAGTAATAATAATAATAATAATATATATATATATAAATAGAGTTTTCCAATCGTGTGTGGTTTGGTGTTCAAGTGTTAGCAAAAAGGATATGGTTATCATATAAACAACCGGTTATAGTAATTTGACATGTTAGATATAATTTATCCGCTGTCGCCCATTTAATTTACTACAAGTTAGGGTTCTTATTACTTCTGTATAACTTGTCATTATTGAGCAACCTGAATCTTACGAGATCAAAATCGTCGTAAGTGAACGTGTAAAGATCAGCAACGAAACGCGAATCCTTCTTGTAATGTCTTCTTGACTTGTTGCTGCTACCCATATTGCGTTTTACTTTCTTCCTTTCTTCCTTACTTTCTTTTTTTTTTTTTCTTGATCAATAATAAACTGCAATTTGTTATTTTTCTTTTTTCTCTTCTTATCGTTCACACGATCACACAAACACACACACGTATCTATGTAATAAATTGTATACCCCCTATCGTGTAACGCAACACGCAATATGCAAAACAAAACAAAACAAAACTCATGCACGAGATCAAAAAATACAACACAGATATCAATCGGAGTTTAATTAGAACCTTTTGAAACTTCAATTGAAACTGAACTGGAAAACTTAAACTTAAACTTAAACTTAAACTTAAACTAAACGAATCGAACCGAACTTAACCGAACTGAATTTCTTTTTTCTTCTTATTCTTCTTCTTCAGGTGGACGTATCCTTTTTTTTTTAAATTTAAGTATGAAATTAACAAGGTGATAATGATTGTGATGTTTCTGTTGATGTTGTTGTTGCTATTACTAATATTACTGTTGCTGATGGTACTGTTGGTATTGCTGTATTAATACTGTGAGAGTAGGTAACTGTCTAGGAGCGTCTAACGTCTGGCCACCAAGTCGTTCAGGATCCTTGGTGAAAGTGGTCGACACGGTTGACGCGACCGTGGCACTTGTGCTGTTGCTTTTGCTGTTGCTGTTGCTGTTTTATCCGTTTACTACTTTCGGTCCTTTACCTCGTATTTTCTGATATTTTCTTCAGTAATTATATTCCCCTACTTTTCTTCTTCCTCCTCCTCCTCCTCCTCCTCCTCCTCCTCCTCCTCCTCCTCCTCCTCCTCCTCTACCAGCCTCAACACTTTTTTTCTTTACATTACTCCTAAATTAAGCGAATTTAATTTTATAAAACAATTTTTCATTCCTAATCACATAATTGGATACGTTTACATGGTTTTTTTGTTTTTTTAGTTTCATTGTTTTTTTTTTTTTTTTTTATTCTGTATTTATTATATTCTGTATTATATTTATTATAACAATTTTTTATTTCTAATCGCGCATAACTTTTGGATACGTACACATGGTTTTTATTTTTTCGTTGGTTTTATTGTTTTTTTTGTTCTTTCTTTTTATTCTGTATTTTTATTATATTTTATATTATATTTATTATATTTTTATTTTTTTATTCTTTCATTATAGAATATATTTATTATTCTTTTATTTCTATATATTTTTTTGTATTCCTTTATTCTATATTATATTTATTATAACAATTTTTCATTTCTAATCGCGCATAACTTTTGGATACGTTACACATGGTTTTTATTTTTTCGTTGGTTTCATTGTTTTCTTTTCTCTTTCTGTTTTCTTCTCTTCTTTTCTCTTCTCTGTATTTATTATATTTGATATTATATTTATTATATTTTTATTCTTTTATTCTTTTATTTCTATATTATATTTATTATAACAATTTTCCATTTCTAATCGCATAACTTTTGGATACGTACACATGGGTTTTATTTTGTTATTGTTGGTTTCATTCATTTCTTTCTTTCATTTTATTCTGTATTATATTTTTCTGTATTAAATTATTTATTCTGTATTTATTATATTCTGTATTATATTTATTATAACAATTTTTCATTTCTAATCGCATAACTTTTGGATACGTACACATGGGTTTTATTTTGTTGTTGTTGTTGGTTTCATTCATTTCTTTCTTTCATTTTATTCTGCATTATATTTTTCTGTATTAAATTATTTATTCTGTATTTATTATATTCTGTATTATATTTATTATAACAAATTTTTCATTTCTAATCGCATAACTTTTGGATACGTACACTTGGGTTTTATTTTTTGTTGTTGTTTTCATTGTCTTTTTTTCTTTCTTTCTTTCTTTCTTTTTTAATTCAAAAACTTTGCCAAATCTTTACCACGAATTTATCGTTGTGTTTTCTTCTTTTTTTTATTACTAATATTTTTTTTTTTATTTAATGTTACACGAATTAATTTATTCTTCCTATTATTAATTTGGATATTTAAAAAAAAAAAACAAAAAAGACGTAGTTTTTAATACTGTTATTAATTTTAAATATAAACTACAATAGAAAGAAAAGAAAAAGAAAAACAAAAAAAAGAAAAATCTTCCCGTAACATTAATTATCGTTAAATTGTTGATTATTATTTACAAAAGTACTCTCTCTCTCTCTCGAGAATTATCCCTCACCCTCCCCGCCCCCGCCCTCGCCCTCGCCCCCCTATTAGAAAGATAGTTAAACAAAAGAATTCTAAATTGTCTTTGAAGTAGACGTAAAACGTTTTGGTTGGTTGATCATGCGAATCCCTTGACCTATGTATAATACTTCTACTTTCGGCTAGTTTAGATATCTTTTTCTGTTTATCTATTTTTAATTATTTCAAGATGATCTTACTAATAATGATCTCTCTTTTATTTAATATATATATATATAAATAATAACTAATAATAAAATATAATATAAAATATATATATAATAACTAATTTAAAAAAATATTAATATAATCATCCAAAATTGATTCTTGATCAAATAATTCACAATTACAATTAATATTACATGTTTAAATACAAAATTAATTCAATTATATTAATTTGTTAAATTAATAATTTTTCTTTTCCCTTTTATTTATCTTTCTCTCTCTCTCTCTCTCTCTCTCTTTCTTCTCTCTCTTACTCTCTTCTCATTTCCGTTTCCGTTTTCTTAAAATTAACATACAATCGTAGAGTTACATGTTAGATCGTGCATAATAAATTGAATCTGACAATCAGTTAACGAGAACGTAAATTGAGATCATTATTGAAGATCTTTTTGTTTTTATTGTTGTTGTTGTTGTATTTAAACATAATTGAAATTATATTATACAAACAATTTACAATTTAATAGATTTCAATTAAAAAAAAAAGAAAGAAATGATAAACGTTACGATTAAATTATTATTATTATTATTATTGTTAATTATATTTCTTAATCTTTTCATGTTGTTTTCTTTATATTTTTCATTTCAATATAATAATCAAACGTCATAGTTTTATCCTAAGTGTAAGTGTAACAAAATTTCCTCTGACTGTAACTCTGTATGATTTCATTATATCATTCTCGTGTATATTAGTATTTTACATGAAAGATTAGATAACAAAATCGAGTCTGGGTCTTTGTAAATCTAAGTCCGTTCCTGACTAATGGCCTCGAGCGAAAGCCTACATATGTAAACGCCTACTCTTTATATATTTAAGTGTGTGACATACATATGTCTATGTAAACAAACATATATATATATGTATATTACAGTTTAGAGTTCAGTACAATATGTAATGTCCAAATTTTTCATATAAATATAATATAACATATATATATTATATATTATATAATTGTATAATCAATATATATTATATTGTATTATAATATTATTATTATTATTAA